GCTAAGAACAGAGAGCAAGACACAAGAGAACCAGAATGAAAATAAATGACTTCTGACTTTAGGTTTTATGACTGGAATTTAACACTTGCAACATACTTTGGAGGAAAGGAACCAGGCCAAGAATTTTAAGTTAGATTTTTCAATGTACCAGAAACATGGATGTTATGAGTGAGATCAAAGTGGTTTTCTTTGTGTGTTTGTTTTGTTTTTGTTTTTTTAGACAAGTTCTCGCTGTGTAGTAGTCCATGCTGGCCTTGAACTGGCAATCCTCCTGCCTCGGCCTCTCAAGTGCTGAGATTACAGACATGTGCCACCACAAGTGGCCACGTGGTTTTCTACAGACAGAAACATCCACTGGCCCTAGAGATTACCTGAAGTTTGGATTCACCATTTGACAGGGATTAGGAAAACCACCAACAAAGAAAATGCAATTTGGAGGCTGCAAAATCAGCAAATGTGTGGTAATTTTGCAATTTGTGTTATTCAATGCAGCAAAACCTTGGATTATGAGTTAACTCGTTCCGTGAGTGTTCTGCAAGACAGGCAAATATTTCTATTAAATTTACCTTGACAAACAAGTGATGTCTTGCAATACTAGTATGTGACACTAAATGCCACAGGACCACAACCAAGCCAATGGCTGGTGCACTACTCGTTCTCTCTCCCCCTCTTTCCTCCCTTTCCCTCCTCCCTCTCTCCCTCTCTCTTACTGTGGGTGATCATCGCCCAACAGCAAGAAGTTATGGGAGAGATCTCATCTGCAGAGGAGGAGGAGAAAAAGGCAGAAGCGCTCACTTCAAATGAGATTAGGGAGATGGCAAAACGTGGGAAACAACGTGCAAAATTCTGTAGAAAGCAACACCCGAATAAGGCTGTAGCACTGTGAGTGATGAATCTGTTTAAGAACAATGCAATGTCACATTTCCACAAAATCCTTCAGAGGAAACAAAAGTATTGGATAGGTTCCTTGCTAAAGATGCACAAAAAGAGGATTCCAGCCTGGTGTGCTGGCACATACCTATAATCCCAGCACTGGGAAGCTGAGGCAGGAGGACAACCAGCAGTTCAAACCCAGCATGGGCTACGTAGTGAGTGCTAGGGACCTGACGCCGCCATCACAGGCTGCATTTTCCTGGTGCTTCTTGGCTCTTAGAATGACTTCATGCTCTTATCTTTAGTTTCCCTCCCCGCCAAGGCCACAGCGGTCCAGAGAAGTTAAACCTGTTTCTGCAGGACTGAACCCATAAAAGGCAACCTGGCCTGTGATAGGTTAAAAGTAGCCCACTCCTCCTAAATAAGCAATAGCCCAGCCCAAAACCAATAAGAGGACCTTCCTGTCTTTGTTCTCTTCTACCCCCTCTCTCTCTCTCTCTCTCTCTCTCTCTCTCTCTCTCTCTCTCTCTCTCTCTCTCTCTGCTCTCTATCTCTGCTGTCTCTCTCTCTGGTCTTTCTCTCTACTCCCACCCCTTGAATAAAATCTCCAGTTGGACCTCTCGGTGTATGTGGCCTAGCTGTTGAGCATCGCTGTTCCCTTTCAGTGAGAACTTGAGGAAAGAAAAGAAAAACAAAAAGACAAAGAGGAAAGAAGGAAGCAAAGAAAGAAGGGAGGAAAGGATGCCACTGAGCCAAAAGACATCAGACGATGATAGCAAAAGTCATCCTATACAATAATACTCTTCTCTCTTCTCCCTCGTAACAGCAATGAAGGTTTTCAAAAGTAAGACCAGGTTAAATTGTTTATTTTTCTTTTATATTCTGTATCTTCTCTATTATTCTGTATTATATTACAGTATTATAATCATTTTTAAATGAATTTTTGGGGTTCTGGAGTGGCTCATCTGAGTTTCCAGTATTTCTTATGGGGCAATTCACTGTGATAAACAAGTGTTTTGGAGTATAAGCATGTTCCCAAATGAATTATACTTGCAAACCAAGGATTTACTTATATTCACTGAATATCAGTGTCCTACACTTTGCTGATTAGGAACAAGTCTCCCCAAAAGGGATTATCTTACTCATCTTCTTCAACACTGGGACAAAATACCCAACCCCAGCAACTTAAAGGAGGAAAGATTTATTCTGGCTCATATTTTCAGTTCTTTGCCTTCAAGGCAAGAAGGACACAGTGGAAGGGACCAGCAGAAGGTGGCTGCTCATGCCATGGAGACAGGAAACAAGGAGCTGGGGTGGGACATGCACCCTTCCAGGTCTTGCCCCAGAGCCTGACTCTTCCAACCAGACTCACATCAGAACAACAGCGCAGCTCCCCCACTCCCTCCATGAGGCTTCACCTTCAGGAAGCCTGGCCCAGGAGTGCAGGAGGCCTTGGGGGACATTCTCAACTCAAACCCAAACAGCGACATTGCTGTAGGGAGAGCAGAGAGCTGCTTGCTAGGTCTACCCAGCATGCGCATAACCATGTTCACCTTCCATTGGGAGGCAAAGAGGGAAATAACAGAGGGCTGCCTGTTTCTTCCCCTCTTTAACAAAGGAATGAGAGACACTCTGCACTCTGGAAAACATTATCACACAAATTAGAGCAGTTAAATCATGATAGCAAGGATGACAATGAAACGAGCTGGAGGATCCAGTGAGATAATTTTTTTGCCACCTAAAAGCAAAATAACTCCATTATTCTATGTCCAACCTAGAAGAATCCTGATAGCCTCTTTTGCAGGATATAAATCAATCAGTCTTAAATTTGCATAATTTTCTGGAGAGACTAGTATGACTATTTCATGTAGATCACTTGTAAAACTTAAAATTTTATTTTTAAATCTTTACCAGTTAGAGATATGCAGAGTGTACAGGTTGAGCATCTCTCATCTCAAACTCCACAATCCAAAATTTCTTTATTGTCAACAAAATGCTCAAAAAGCTTCACATTTTGGAATATTTCAAATTAAGGTTGATCAACTAGTAAAGTTTACGCAAATATTCCAAAAATCCAAAACAGTGTGAAATCTGAAACATATCTGGTCCCAAGCATTTTTGATGAGGGACAGTCAACCCACATCCACAGATGCATTTACTGTCAAAACATCCTTGCAACTAAAATTTGCTCTAAAATACTCCACCTGCAACTGTCATACTGCTGGTAACTGGGCGCTGGATGACGGCTATGAAGAAGATCACTCTATTTTCCTTTTTTACTTTTTAACATGTTTGAAATGTCTTGGGCTGGAGACACTCTCGAGGGGAGAGCACTGGCTTGGAACACCTGAGACCCTGGGTGTGATCTCCAGTGCTGCCAAGAACAAATCTGTTTTTACTTAATGTATATAATAGTTGAAACACCCTATTATCTCACACTATAATTTGAATAGGACAACATAATTTAGTATGATTACAGGTAACAGTTTAACTTGATAGAGCTCCCTGCTAGATATAAAGGCCCTAACCCCACACCCTAAATGGCTCTTCCCAGCAGATAATAAATCACGCCAGGGAAACAAAGACCCAACTTTCCGACCATAAAGCTCTCCCACCTGTATTTCTCCCCACCAGGAAATCCAAACCTGCAGATGGATTTAAACCTCACCTCTGGCTGCAGCCAAACAACTACCTCCACTGTGCATAACCCTTACCTCCCCATAACCCTTGCCCATATAAAACCTCACCCAGCCAGTCCCTCCCCACTGCTCTCGCCATTATTTCAGACAGCCCAGCACCCCGTCCTCAATACCCCTTCCCCTAATAAAAGCCTAATTTCAGGCGTTCATGTCTCCAGCTCAATCCCCATCCTCTCATAACTTATAAAATAAAACTTATAACAGTACTATATGTAAAGAGAAAATGGTGAACATAAGCTAAACGGGAAAACAGCTCAGGAAAATGTTCATAACATGTCACAATGTTTACTACAAAACAAACAAGATGCATTGTAGGCCTATTACGGCATCATGTAGAAAATGTATGCACATTAGAATATAAGAAAACACGGAAAATGAAAACAAAGTTTCTCTCCTGGTAATGAGTTTAAGAGTGATTTTTCAATTTTGTCATACTATGCTGACATTTTTCCCAAAACAAATATAAATCAAATTGTAACCAGAAAAAGAAAACCGCTATTAACAAGGGGCATTTTAACCCAGAAAAGGCAGAATAATCTGTACATGATTCAAAAGAAATATGCATCTGAACAAAACTCACTACATTAACCAGTGAACAGAAAAAAAAGTGCCACAGGGTGCTTCTGGTTTCATATGCCCAAAGACTACATCAACACTGAGTTGGGGAAAAGCACGTTCTTGTGCCTGTAGCTGGAGGAGGTTTTCATTTGTGTGCTATGTTTTCAGCGATTACCTATGGTAGCCAATATCCTGAGATTTCTGTCCTCAGGTACTTTAAACTCCCGGAGATGTCCCCCGTCAACCCAATCATTTCACATTTTATCAGGGGAAAGCCTTTCACGCCTGAGTACAAAGCTATACACCTGCCCCGGACCCAACATTTCACATGTGGGTTCTCAATATTAACCAAGGCAGATTTCAAAACATATTTTCTGTGACATAATCTAAGAAAGAACTACTTCGGGCTGTATCAACAGTACAACATCTTTATCAATTCAACAAGATGTGAGCCCAGTAATTCCTACCATATCAGAATTTTTTCTGATAACTAAGAGTAAATTTTTTTTCACAAGTGGGTAATAAAATTTCTTACTAAGCCATAAAATATTTTTTAAAACTCAAACTAAGCCATGCATGATGAGCTATGCCTGGAGGCTGAGGCAGGAATATCCCAAGTCTGAGGCTACCCTGGGCCACCGTACTGTAGCAGAATAAAAAAGGCCGGGTGTGTAGTTCAGCAATGAAGCAATGACTAGGGTGTGCCAGGACCTGGCAATCCTCAGTAGCACAAAACAGCAGAAGCAACTACAACCACCATCCCTCAACACTGTAAATTAAGAGCATTGTTTTTTTAAAAATCTCATGATCAGCTGAATTTAAAAGACTGTCAAAGTTTCCCCAAAAAGAAGGAAGGAAACTTTCACTTACTTTAACCTCCACAATCTTCCCTCCACGATCAATGTGTCTCTCTATGTAATCAGAAGACAGCAAGTCACTGCAACAACAGAAATAAGGATTAAAGAGGACCTTGACAACGTGAAACATTTGAAAATTGGGATCAAGTTTAAACACATTTGCTTTAACAATCTTTCTTTTCTTATATTGAGACTGGGTCTCAGTTGCTCAGGCCTGGAGCTTGTCGTACCTGGGCTGTGTCCTCCTGAGCCGCTGAGATTACAAGCAGGCACCAATGCACACAATTTTAACAAGTTTTTAACCTTGAAAGACAAAAATCAAGACTTTGTAGGAGGATATTTCTAAAAGGAGCAAGGGTGAGCTAACCACATCACCTGCTGCCATCATACTGCTCAGCCAAAGGTAACTGCCCTAATCCTGTCATCAGTTCTAAGAAGCTATGACCAGCATACCATCATTCTTTTATTTTATGAAGAAACACAAAATTTCCTAACAAAATAATAAGAATAACAACATAGTTACTTTGCTTTTTTTTTTTTCCTTCGGTGGTACTGGGGATTGAATCCAGGGCCTGTGTATTGAGCTACATTCCCAGTCCTTTTTTGAATTTTTTATTTTGAGACAGGGTCTTGCTAAGCTACTAAGTTGCCCACATTAGGCTCAAGCTTGTTAATTCCAATATTAAAAAATAAAAAGGATAATAGAGTGATCTTCATAGCCATCATCCAGTACCAACAGTTACCAGTAGCATTTATTCTTAATGTTTTTCCTTTAGTCTTTTATCCAAGTTTTAATTGGCTTTTTCCCCCCTTGGTACTGGGGACTGAACTCAGGACCTTGGGCTTACCAGGCAGGCATGGTGCCATTGAGCTAAATGCCCAGCCCATTAACTGGCTATCTTACCTTACTATTATTTATTTATTTATTTTTGTCCAACAAAGTACTACACAGGTTGAGGCAGGGCTAGGAAAGGACCCATGAGGTAAAGTGCTTGCCTGACATACACAAAGCAGTAAATTCACTCTACAGCACCCCAAAAACAAACAGAGGGGCAGGGACAAAGAATCCTAAAAGAAAGGAAAAGGCAGAAACCATCAGCATTTGAAAGTAATTCCCTTTGGAAATCTCTTTGAAACAACAAACTTCTTCCATCATCTTAAATGTTCACACAATCTTAAATATGCTTGGGCCAGGATTTAGTTCAGTGGTTCCACCACCTGCCTTGTAAGCCCAAGGTCCTGAGTTCCATCCCTAGTACCAAAACAAACAAACAAAAACAACCTTAAATATGTTTGTCTTTAATTACACATATATGAAGAAACTTCAAGACATCATTCCATAATATAGTTTTTTAAACCACTACAATATAAATAAAACTATAATTAATAAGTAAAAAACGCATGAAGCTATACATCCCTAACGCTCCTGTATTTATAGACATTGAACTAACGAAAACCTTTTTGGAGAAAATTATAATTTTTTTATTATAAAAACTCTTTTTAAAGATGCTGTCACAAGAGGGAAAAATGAGAACCAAGACCTGTCATGTAAAGGTCCAAGATCCCAACGATGAATGTAATTGTACTGCACACCTAAAATGTACCAATAAACTCAATGAGAGAAAAATAAATAAAGAGGTACAAAAATAAATGCTCTGTCACCAACCCAAAATCGTCCCCATCATAAAAAAGTGCATTTCTGAGCACAGAACCCATCAGAGTATGTCCCGGACCTACAGCGCCTTGAACTGCAAGCAGGATGTGCAAAGCAGCATTACGTTAACACGAGCATCACGAAGCTGCAATGTCACTGCCCACAGGACCGCAGAGGTTCTGTCATTAGGGCTTACGTCCAGGCTTCGTCTGTCTTGAAATACACTTTCCCCTTTACTTTATGTGGCACTCACTAGGATGCTCTCATCTGCAGGTTACAGAAAACACAACTAAAAGTGGCTTAAACAACCAAGACATTTATCACCTTATTAAAAATTCCAGGACAAGTAAGTATAACATGAGTTTGCATTTGAGAACATTCAGTTCTGTCTGATGAATAAATTTGAGGTTTTTATAATTTAGGCACACACACTTTAAGTACAGATGAGTAGCTAGTAATAGGATGCTCTTCGTAAGCAGGACACATACAGAAAGCAATAGCAATATTCATGAAGTACCTAGGTAATAAATGCTCATGATATACTAAGTATACAAGAGACATTAAATATGCAGGATATACTAGATTTTCCTGTTTTTCAGTGTTAGAAGTCAACCCCAGGGCCTCACAGATGCTAGACAAGTGCTGTATCATTCCCATCCCCAGGATACATTAAATATATATAAGCAATTAATATGCATGAGTTCTTAATTTAACCACCCACCCACTGGCTCTATATAGGGCTTTTCAACTTTGACCCTACTGACATATTGGGCTGGATAATTCTTTGTCTTGGTAGATTATCTTATTATTACAGTATATTTAGCAGCATACCTGGATTTTAACCATTTGCTACACACGTCAGTCATGACAATCAAAAACTGTTTTCAAACATTGCTAAATGGGAGGGGCATGCTGCTGACACTTAGTCCTGCCACACGTGTTCTCTGTTCAAGAATCACAAGCAGAATCCACATGTGTCTGTCAGGCTAACTGGCAAGCTATAGCTACTAACCAGGCACACCAATCCTGTGTCTTTCAGATACAGTAAGTTGGGGCCATTCGATCATGGCCTCTGCCATCTCTGAGGCTTGGCCTAACCTCAACTCAGCAAGCAGACCATCAGTGGGACAGGCACATGCAGCTGAGAGGAACAGGATATACAGCCTGTGTACCCCAGGTTAACCGCACAACCCTCTCCCCATGTATACATTACTCTAAGTATGCTGTCTACTCCTTTCTTTCCTCTCACTTCTTGCTGTGTGACTGGTATCAGACTGGTAGCAAACTGCAATGTGAGGACTTCAATCTGGTGTGTGGAGGCTTCTGCTCCCTCTGCTCTGGGATAACTTACCTGGTGGCACTGGAAGCTGAAGTTAGGTAGAAGAGTGTAGGTAGTCAGAGAAGGCCAGGCCCTCGAGAGACAGGACAAAAGTAAAACACACTGTAACTGTGACCAGAGACACAACCGTTAGAAGGTAGGCCTCTAGATAAAGACAAAATGGCCAGCCCTGTATACATCCCCAAAGGACAAGATAAGAGATAACATCGGGTCTAATGAAGTCTAGATAGACATCAGCCACTCCCCTGGGTGACCAAGACCTCTGGACCCATCACTTCCTAGAAAGTCTTTGTTCCTTCCATGCACACTTGTTACGTGACTTGTTCCTCCACTGAATCACTATTACCTAAGTGACTACATGTGTAACCTTATTGGCTGATCATATAGTTTTAACCCATGTTGTACCCATAAGGTTATGCTTCATAAAACTTCCCTAAAAAGTGGGGTCCTCAACTACCAATTTGGGACCCATCCTGCCTCTAAGGAGCTGTCTTCTCAATAAACATTTCTTACTCTTAACCTCCATTATTCCTAGAATTCATTCTTTGATTTTAGAGAACACGAACTCAATGTATCAGACATCTAACAGGTTGAGACCATAATGTTTCCCTTATATCAATGTGAAAGTCCTAACAACATTTCCTATATCAATAATAATTTTCCACATCAAGGCATTTCTGGGGTTAGTTCATGTGGTGGCTCAGCACAATTAGTAAGATCAAGATGCATTCAACTTTCTATTCTACCATTAATCGGGATGGTTGCTGTCTTGTCCTATAACCGGCTTCTCCCATAGCTGCTGCAATTCTAAGCATCTTGTGAAAATTAGAAATAACCCAAGGTAAAGATGCTTTGTATTTCTTTAAGAGTGAGCAAACCCTTCACAAAAAGTTCCTAGAATTCATCTTCTCAAATATCTTCTCCCCAAACTTACAGGAAGGACTTTTGTCTCTGAGCAATCAAGATTCTCCTCCCTGACTTCCTTGAACATCATGACTACAGAGAGAGCTGACAGGAAGGAGCAAAGTACAGAGAAAGCATTGTCCAGTCAACTGACAGTTCTTTTCTTTCCTTTCCTCCCAGTCCTTCTCTTCCCTTTCCCTTCCTCTCTTCTTCTTCCAAGGTAATGCCACATATTTCATGTATTTCCAAAGGTTTCAGCAAAGAGTGAACCTAAACAGTAAAAAGACCTGCCTCAGACAAAACAGGCAACTACTCCAGCATCCGTGTCACACCTGGTTAACCAAGCACACGCTTGAAGGAGAAACGCCAGACAGACTTTTGCAAAAGACTGTCCCTAGCCTTGATACCAATCTGAAACAATCTCCCTAGAAGTGGGGAAAAAAACGCTACTACACAGAGGCAGTGTTTATTAGCACAGCCAGCCTGATTCCTTCTCTTAGGAATCTGAACTGGTAAACTTAGAGAGTAATCATTCAGTTGATGAAGGAAGGAAAAGCAGAAAGGCAGAAATAGTTAAAAGCACATGAGTTGCAATGGTGGTAAAGACCACAGTGAGAGCTGGATCCAGCCCATCCTGGACCCTGGGTATCTGTGGGATCCTACCCCAACCCTCATTATCAATGTTGAGAATGAAATCAAAGGCACCTAAGTAAAACACTCTTTAGAGGGCCGGGGAGTTAGCTCAGTGGTTCCCCTGCCTGCCTCGCAAGCACAAGGTCCTGAGTTTGATCCCCAGTACCAAAAAAAAAAACAAAAAACAAAAAAAAAACCCACTCCTTAGAGAGATATCAATTATACCAGTAATGATAATAATATTTTTAAGCAACCAGTACATCCTTCAGGTCTTCAAATTTCAAGGGAACATTTTCCTTTGAATTATACAGAGTATGAGTCACTGAAGGAATATAATAGCAGCAAAGAGAAACTTCTTGCTCAGGAATTATAGAGCTATTTCAACCAAGATTCTATCTACAAGTATGGCTCAAAAAGGCTCCATGTAATTTAAACCAAAAACAGCCCATGCAATTTGGTTGTGTTGGCTGGTAGTATTGTGCAAGTTTTCTGAGTGTTGTTATTTTAATTATTAGGCTGAAAAATCTTCTATTCAAAATGTCACTGCTTCC